CAGGCGAGTGGGATTTCATCCCAAATGTGAGTATTTTAGAACAGGTCTGTTGCCACTCTCACAGTCTGTGAGCTTAATTTTCTCGAGAAACATCTTGGAGTTGTCTGTCTCCGCTGAGCAAACGGCTTCAGGGACAAAGAGCTGAATCCTGAATTGAGTGAACTAGATTGTCCCTGACACCTCTGTCAGGACAAGTTTCTCTCAAGAGAAGGACATGATCTCTTTTTCTTGGAACTGCATAAGACATCATTCAGTGTGGCCATGTTTGACAACTAAGAGAAATACAGCTGTATTCCAGAACTTATGCTAAGTAACTTGGTATCATGGAAACTTTTAGAATTGCAGTTAAAGCTGATGACCCATTTTCGATTATCTTGAATTCCAAATAAGGTGTGTTAAATATTAATTTTGGATCTTTTTCAGTGTGTACCTCTGAACTTGGAAGGCCATTCCCCTTAGGGAAGAGAAAAAGGAGAAAGGGGAATTCCCTCATTTATTCAGAAGAAGATTTATTCTGTTTTGTGTAATTGCTGGTATGGGAGAAATCCTTCCACTCAGAAATAGCTGCATGTCATATACTGCCAAGTGGTCTAAAATACCAAATTCAATGAAGTAAGACAGATACAACCCAGACACAAAAATTTTGTGGAAGAAACTGAAAAAAAAATCTTTTTCACTTCTGACCTCTTCTTTCTTACATATTATGAGGTCATGTGATGGACTTCATGTTAGACTAAATGATTCTTGGGATGGAGTAACCTCTGAAGAGATTTTGGGTTTCCTTGGTTCTGTTTTTACTAGACTGGTGGTGGAAATTTTCACTTCTGATCATTACTTTGCTGCTATTCAAGTGCATGACAAAGATTTTTAAGAGTTAAGGCTATTTTCTCACTTCACTTTCCCCCTTGCTTTTAATAGTCTAAGTAAAAGAATAAATAAATTCTTGATAAGCCTATATGGCACAGATGCCTCCTCCGAGCTCTTCCCACATCACTCAAGTGAGCCAAAACCTGACAGTGAGGCCAGACCCCAATTCCTGATATTATTACTACTACTTTTACTACTAGTAGTAGTAGTAGTACATCTACTACTACTAGATGGCATCTACTCCATTTACAATCAGGGTTCCCACATCCCAGGCACTGCATACTGGAGATAATCATAGACTCATAGAGTAGTCTCAGGTGGAAGGGATCCACAAGGATCACCAACGTCCAACTCCTGGCCCTGCACAGGACAGCCCAAGAATCACACCGTATGCCTGAGAGCATTACCCAAATGCTTCTTGAATTCTGGCAGGCTTGGTGCTGTGGCCGCTTCCCTCGGGAGCCTGTTCCAGTGTAAGAGAGATTTGTTATCCCTCAGGGCCTTCAGCCTAATATGAATAACAAACGAAGCCAAAGGCTGTTCTTCCATTCATCAGGAAAAGAGACTGAGCAGTTGTGCCCTGTGGATTTTGTGTGAGAAAAGTCTGCAACCGCCTGCACTGCTGGTCTTTGTCTGATCCTCTGAGCATGACTTAAAAAAAGGGGCAAAAGATAGGAAGATGAAGGTAAAGTCAGTTACAAAGCTCTAAATTTGATAGAAAGCTACATGGGGAGTAAAAACAAAATCATAGAATGACAGGACATAAACGCAGTGGGAGCTAGGGAAAGATGAAAGAAGAAAGGAAATTGGATAACAATAGTGATCAGAGAGAATAAAGGCAAAGACAAATAATGGCAAGAAAGAAAGAAAGAGGATTAAAGGTGAATGATGAAAGCAATGGAAATAAGGTTGTTAGCTGCTATCAGAATAACAGGAAGTTATTTTATTTAAGATGTCATTGTTAGGAGTTAGAAAACATACTTTTGTTTAAACATATACGATCCTGAGAAGAGTAAGGTTTCAAGGCAAAAAGGAATTCCGGAAATTTGAGAAAATAGCTGACAATATGTTTATATGGCACCAGCAGCTGCTGGAGTTAGCTGAGGATGGCCTAGCTTGGTGTACTGGCAATGATACAGCTTGTATTAGCACTGACTTTCACATAGCCTAAGCAGCCCTGTTAAAATATAGGGAGTTTAAAAGTATCTGAAAATACTCTTTCAAATATTTTTTTTTTTTGCTTTTGAAAGTTTAATCTGAGAATGATACACCATTATGAGTTTTTGTTGTTTCATTCTTTTTAATTCTTTAATAATGAAAATTTTTGTATGGAATAAAGAAACCTCAGAACATCATTGGGAACATCAGCAAACTTCCCTATGAATAGCTCATATATGCAGCACAGGTTTTGGAGTTTGTTTTACAGGCATAATTTGGGCTGACTTCCAGGGAGTCCAAGACTGCATACATGCAAGGAACTACAGGTAGAGTGCTAGGCCCTGAGAAATATTCCTGTCTCTTGCTGTTCTCTGCCCAGCCCATATGGACATCTGAGATGCTCTTGCCAACAGGCTGTGCTTACACCATTTAGAACTGAATTAGTGGGTTGGGGAATAAGCACCTGAAAACCCAATTGCCACATAAATAGAGCTGGGAATACCTTCCCCCTCCCCTGGCGGCCAAGACTATTCCTTACCTTGCAGCAATGGGCATAAACACTGAGAGCCTGTACTTCCCAGAAAAAAATGTCAGCCCAATGTCATTGTCTTGATGAGAGATGCATGGGATGAGTAAAGCACGGAGATAGAGAGCCAAACATGTCAGTGAGGTCCCTGCCAGGACAGCAGTGGAAGAGCCTTGGATAACCATTGGGATAGAGACCTGCCATGGCTCAGCCATTTCCAGTGTCTCTGCATCTTGGGTAGCCCCAAGTATGTTGAAGTAGTTGAGATCGAGGAGCTAATCCATGTCTGCTTCCAAGCCTGCTTCCAGGTCTGCTTCTGTCTTTGCCTAACAGCAGCAGCAGCCACAGCATCTGCAGCAGCAGCACAGATTTTGCATTACCTGGTGTCTATGGCTGCTCAAGAGTATCTCCAAATTCATCTCCAGAAAGGACTAATCACAGCTGATGTACCTGCCATACTAAATTAGAGAAGTCTCACCAACTGTTGTTTTTATATCCCACTGCTTAGTTCAGCAAAATAGGTGTTCTCTAATTTCTTGTATTAGTGCTTTGTTGTCCCCAGAGAAGCCTCCTTAACTTAATAGCAGTACATGTGTAGTTAGCAGCTCATAACACTTTGCTCTGCTTCCTCAAATGCTGAGGTACACTGACTTTATGAGTGGGACTCATTGCCACATGACCTTGCAGTCTTACCAGTTAAAACAATCTTATTTTTTTCTGGGACCTGTATCTCATTCAATTTCTTATAGTGCAGGGTCTTCAAGTGCCATCATTTTACTATGAAGTCTAATTCTCAAGACCTGACTCCAGGGATTTGGTGATAAACTAGGATTTATGGTGCAGGAGAGCCATACCTTTCAGTGACTGAAATGACACAATAACAGAGATAATATCTGCAGGTTTTTTTCGGCCAAAACTCTTGCCTACAAGAACTCAAAGAATGAGGGATATCTGGCTGCAAAGAGACCCCTAAACAGTAATCATTTGATCTGGGTAGAAAAAGTTAATACCAACTCCTGGAGGATTTCAATATTTGAAGACTGCTTTCATGTAGATTTAAAATAAAAGCTCAAAATGTCAAAGTTCTGCTTAGTCAGATTCCAAGCACAGTTCAAAAACCATCTGAGCAGATGAAAACTGTTCCTAAAGCCCCAAAATTTCTGAAATATAGACCTTGATGATTAATTAATCTTTCATGTGAAAGATTTTGTCACCAGGAAGAAAAGGATTTCTGAGGCCAGGCTTTTTGAAGCCCACCCAGAGTTGGCAGCCTGACATGTACCGCTGGTGGCCAGCAGTGAATGATCTATTCTCACCAGAGTTTTTTCCAGTGAACTCCAATCCTTCTTAAACTGGCTTCAGGATGATTCAGTCTCTGATGAAAGAAGCCTCTGTGAGCCATCACTATTCAGAAGGAACTGTCTAGAAAATATGTTCCTTTCCATTTAGAATCCAAAAAGGGTACAGAGAGTACCATGTTTCATCAGCATAAATAATTAACTGCAGAATGACATATAATATTCATACTTAAAAATCATTAAACAAAATAGGCTGGAAAAAATTTTAAGCATGGAGTGATATTAATCATTTAGCCACAAATTCAGCTTAGAGCTTCTCTTTTGTTTAATTTAATTATTATTTTAAAAAATCTATTCACAAGCAGATGTTGCTGTGCAAATCCACAGAACCAATACCCACACGTGACCCTGAGGTTTAGCAACTTGCAGTATTAATTAAATCATGAAGCATTGTTAATGATAGTGGGAAAAGTAAGAATGAAGAATTTTCTGTGCTTAGTAAAATAAGGAATAAAATGGGTCAAAAGAGCAAGGCTTTTCATACAGCATTGCCTTCTTAGCCCTATTGTATGCTCACAGATGGTTCTCTATCTTTTCTGTATTTCCAAGCATGCAGAGCAGGATCCTCTTGGAATGGAGGTGTTTAAAAGAAAAGAGAACCCCAGAAGATTAATGAGAATTTCCTAGCAAAGAAAGTGCCACCATGTAAGAGCTGAATTCATCTCAGCAAGTGGAGTCATCCAGAGTTGTGCTACTGCTCTCACTGAGGGGCAAACCCCATGAGACGACATTGTTTGGTTCGTGGCCTGGAGAACAATCACACACAATTTAGCCGTGTCAGATCTCAGTGATGGTCTTGTTCTGCCTTTCTGGCATCTATTCTCTCTTTCCTTCCCTTTCCCCAGCAAAAAGCACTCAGCCTGAAACTGGACCCTCTGTGAGATGGTGGCAGTTCTGACACGTAAGGCAATAATTTATAAAATAAGAGTAAAAAGTGTAAAGATGGACTGGTTGGAAAAAAGTGTTCTCTGGCTGGATATAAGAATATCTGAATATTTGCTCCAATGTGACTGTCACCTATTATCCATCAGAAAGCTACCTCAGCTTAAAGAAGAATAAGTTTTTATCCTCTGCTTTATTTTTATGCTTACCTTGAGTTTCTGGAATAAATTCAGCAACTTTAAACCATGACCCATCGCGCCTTTTGTGCTGCACCATGTTCTCAGCCAGTTCTGAAAGGCTTCATTCACAAACTTGCCCCTGTGATGCCAGGGAGCCTCTGCAGAAGGAGAAGTCACCGTATGCTCGGGTTTTGAAGTGCAGCCTACTGAGGAAGAAAACATTATTCTCTTAGGATTTCACTGCATTCTGCAGCCCTTTCAAGTACAAAAAATACAGTGCTTGTGAATTGCTCTTCTAGTACTATATATACTTCACAAACTTAGATTGGAGCCATAGACAGACCTTGGACCCTACAGAAACTTCTATGCGGCACTAGAGATTCACAAAAAGTGACTTAAAGCTACCCTGCTGGGGAAGGCAATTGTTTCCTTGAGCCTGGACCATGGGCAAACATTTGTGAAACATACCAAGGAGTTAAGGCATCTTACAGGCCATTGTCCTTAAACACATGCATGTTTTGGAAAGTAAGTATAAAATCTACTCTGTGATGATTCTCTCCCACTTCATGGCTATGTTTGTTATTTATTTCAGTCAAAAGCATGAAGGGGACTGCACAACAGCAAAACAGAAGAAGGGCTTGTGCACTTGCAGGTTGCATAGAGTTGTTTCATGAAGAGTGCAGTTGTGTAAAGCACCTACAGTTAGGATTTCTCCTGGTGAATTGCCTGTGACAGTGAAGTGAGGTACTTTTCTTCATTAGCTCATTCATGACAACCTCATGTTGAATATTTTATACATTCATAAGGGAGGCATGCTCTTCTGTCTCATCTGCAAGGTTATTCCTTCTCCAAAAATAAACAAGAAAATTGTGATTATCCTGTGGTGATTAACGGTGCCATCACTAAATTACATGAAAAAGGATTTTTTTGTTATTCTTTAAATGAAAATCATAACACAGCTACATAAAGGTCACAAGTGTCTCCATGGCAATTCTCAGATGTGTAAACAGGTAGTCAATAAAAATTTTCAGTGGAATAATTTTCTGAGTTTGTGATTTTCCTTTCCTGTTTAACAGCCCTGTCTGTTGAGCTGCCATCTCACCTGAGCTGTGAGGTCTCTAGGGCAGGCTGTGTGTGTGCCTAGATGGATGCCCACTTACCAATATCTCTAGCTCTCACTTAGGAGAAATAGGTCAACCAGTATCATAGGTGCATACCAGGATGGTGACCAGTGAAACCACAGTGTTACTTTGCTGCTATAATATGATCCTAGGGAAATATTCCTACTCTAAAGTGACATAAAATATTAGAGGAAAATACCTTTCCTTGCTGGGAAAGAGAGGTAGGAATGGCGTTAGGGTAGACCTCTGGATTGTGCTGTGTTTTGTAGGCAGAAGAAGTTGGAAGAAATAGATGAATCATTTAAGACAAATTTACTTGTGCTAAAAACTGATCAATTTATCTGGCATAAAGAAAGACTCTATTTCTACTATCAGGATCTGAAGGCATAATTACATGAGCCACAGCACTTGTAAGGATGTTCAATGCAGACATAAATTTATTAGAAAGCAGAGCAAACACATTTGCACACTGATTTCATATTTCTAGAGGAAGAATTCTAAGCGCTATGCCAAAATAAGAATTTAAATTATCTAATATAAAATGGTGAAATTTAATGAATTATTTAATAACATCATTGGCATAGCACAGATACCTCACCGTGCTGGTGCTTCACTCTGTCTTGTATAATGGGAATGGTTGAGAAATGCCACACATTTCTATTACATAGTATTATCCTGGGTGCCTGCACAGTGTTCCACTGCAGAAGTTCTAGTGCCAAAGCATGAAAGTTATCACTTATGTTTCAAGTGCAGAGGGAAAGCCTTGTGATTTATAGCAACTGCTGAGTGTCTTAGAACAATACAGAAGCAATCTTTGTTCTCTGAGAGGCACATATTGCCCTGAAGTAATATGGAAAAAAGCAGATATTCCTATGGAGCATTCCTGCTAATAAAATATTTCTTTCTGAGTAGGGGGAAAATTAACAATGAGCTCTAAAGCTGATGGGTTGGGCAGTAGTCTAAGCCTAAAAACAGAATAATATTTGAGTGCTTTCTATAGCCTTTAGCTTGATTTTTGTTGTCTTTGAATGATAGAAGAATTTTAAAAAATGGTTGGCCATTTTCTAAAATATCTGTAATTTGCACATGGTAGCAATCAATGACATGAGAACTTATGTGTATTTAAATGGAAGTGAGGCCAAAAATCACTCTATTTAAATTTCTGGTTTAACTGTGTAGTCTTATGAATTAGCAGAACGTGTGCTTTGGGGAATAGGTAGAAGAAGGAGGAATGGGGGTTGGTCACTGGTTCAAAGCTGTGAAAGCTGGATTATTACCAAAATAAATGTTTGGTAAATTATACCCTTAAAATCTGATATATAGAAATCTAGGTAAACAAGAGGATCCTTTTAAGACCAGGTGTTCTGTGATGAGAAGAGCAAAGCTTACCTGCCTCATGCTAGGTACTAATTTGTCATGACAGTGAGAGCTGACTCCTTAGAAAATTTAAATGTATCGTTTATAGTTAGAATACGAGGGACTTCAGAAAAGCTTTTCACAAAATTTGTGAGCATGCAGATGACGTTCCTGTTTCATCCTGCATTTCAGATTTTCTAAACAAGCAGATAATTGTCATTATTTTAATGTTTTATTCGGCAGTGCCTTTTCTAGTTTCATCAGAACAGGGAATTATCATAAAAAGCAAGAGAACAAGGATAAAACTCTGATTCCCCTTAAGGTCTTGACAAAATTATCATTGATTTAAAGAGGAAGAAGATACGTTTTTTTTTTCCCCAGTGCTTATCTACATATTTGCAAAACATAAATTTATTTTTATTTTGCACTAAGATGCATCTAGAACTATCAAGCCTCCTTCAAACAGCAATGTCTCAGCTGCTATTTCTCCATACAAAGGCAATTACAGATTTGCTTTTGATATCTGTGTGTATATTTCAAGGCTGAACTGAAGTGAAGCTTGGTTAAACACCGTTTGTGGCAGTGGGGTTACCTTGCATGTGACAGCCCTCACCTCCACTTTCATCTCCCCCTGAGAGCAGCCCCTTTGATGGTTTTCAGTAGAATGACTTATCCCAACACCTTTTCACACGGATTGCACAGTGAACCCCAGAGCAGCGAACCAGAGGATAAATTTGCTTTCTGTAAGAGTTTGCTTTTGTTAGAGAGCATGACTGAGACAGTGGGTCAGGAGAAGCTACTTCCATCTTTAAAGCACTGTTGCTTGGTAGGGGCTTATGACTAGTTTGACAAGGCTAGATCAGACGTTCAGTATTGTACATCATTGTAGTTAGCAAGTTAACTCTTAGAAAAGGTACTTTAACATAGTTTAAAGCCAGCATTTGACCTACCTTCAAAGGCAGCAACTGTTGTCTTTTAGCACACAGGGTCTTGGAAGTTGCACAACTTTTATCTTGGTGTCATGGACAGTGGTGAAATGTGTTGTCTCTATCAGACAAATGTAAAAAGCAGCAACAGAATAGTGAAGAATTCACCCTGAAGTCTAATGATCTGTTATTCATCACTGTTTATCAGTGCCCCTACTGTATATTTGCTGTGCTGTCATGGAAACAGCCATTCCACCAACCTATTAAGAGAAAATTAAAGTGACACTGTCAAGAAAAGCATATGTTAGAAATTAATTTCTTACCTGCCTCACAAAAAATAAATCCCCCAATTATTTTTAATTCTCAATAATTCTATTTGCATTCATTTTTTGTGAAAAAAAAAAGACAGAAGCTATTTCATAAATTCAGAAAGCAAAAGAAAAAAAAAAAGGACCTGTATACACTAGATCACAACTGAATTTAAAAGTGAATTTAATAGAATTGGTTTGTTATACATTGCTTTGGTTGTTTTCCAGTCCTCCCACAAGAGCAGGCAACTCCACCTATTTCTGTATGCCAACTTGTTTAAATGGCAAAAGTAGTGCCATATAAAAAGGCATAGTAGTGCCATTATCCATTATGGCACATTGGTATATAAGGGGACCTTGTCCCATGCTGGGTCTACACTCTGTCTCAAATAATCAGGGTAAAGTTGCTTCTTCAATGGGGCAGTTTTACAGCAGCACGGGAGGTACTCTGCTTTCTTGTCTTTCTCTCTGTTCCCATCCCAACCCCAGCTTTGTCCCATGTTTTCCTTGCACTGGCATAAGTATGTATTTGATCTTCCTGTAATGTGAAGAAACTATACTTACTGGATAATATTTTTTTCCTGAGCCTGGTCAGACGACCATCAATCCCATGGATAGATATTTCTGTATAGAAAATGGCGACAGTATGTTACCTAGAATTACAACCTCAACTTAGGATGTGGATCCACAATATAACTACAAGGACAAGAAGGCCTCTAACATGATGTTGTGTAAGCCCTCTCACCCATCTAATTCTTAAAAATGATAGTATTTCTTTTACTGGAAAACTGTTCTACTCCACCCCCCCCCCCCCCCCATTGGAGTTCCTTAAGAGTAGCAGCCTCCTCTGCCACATTTCCAGCATGTCCTCTCTTGTCATTAAAGTATATTTTGACCCCTACTCATGTGGAGGCAGTCAGATAAGCAATGGTAGAGTCAAGCTGTGCATATTTTCCTGTCCTGGGGGATGCTGCTAGCACTTTGTGTCTCTGTTAGAGCTTCTTGTTGCTGCCTTAGCAGTGCAAAAAGCTGTGCTGCACAAGGGAATCTACCCAACAGACCCTTGCTAAAATGTTGCTCACGTGAAGACAACACAAAAGCCATCCCCAAAGTCACTAGAGTCAAACTCTAAAACTAGACAGAAAATAAAAGGAAATCAAAGCCTGGATGGATAACTCTCCCTCTACTATTCTTATATTCAGATGAAGAAGGTTAGGCAATAATTCAGTGCTGGAATGTGCTCCATCATTCTCCAGTGATCTATGGTCAAGAAAAGGGCTGATTAAAGTAATTATTTATAGCAAGCATAACAACAGTGCTAGTTAAAGCTCAATAGCTGTCACCATGATTTTAACAAAAGCTTGTGAGAGTCATACCAATTTGATGGTGTCTTAAAGTGAGCTGAACTGTAGAGAACTGCAGTTTTGTTTCTGATACCAAGAAAATCATCACATTAACAGCAGTAATCAAAATGAATGAACCCTACCGAGATACAATGAGTATAGAGCTGTCAGCATTTTTTTTCTCCTGCTCTGGTTGAACCCATAGAAGGGAGTACTGAATAAGAGTCCACTACAACTATCAAGCACAGTGCAGTCTGTGTGAGACTTTCACTTATTCGACTCACCTGGGAGTACCTAACCTTATCCACAGAAAAAAGAATCACTAAAATTATGGGGATTTTTAATTATTACTTGTGTTTATGACTTATATTTAAAGATGTATTTTAGTTTTGCTTATCCTATGGCAGAAGTTCAATGTGTAGCACTCAGCCACACCAAGTGCCTTCACACATTCAGAATAGAGAATGTTGGCTTACTGCTGTCTCCATATAAGTGAATCCTTTTTTAACTCTCTCAGCAGCAGTCTAAACTAAAATATCACACTTATACAGCAGCATTAATTCACTTCAGGAAAAGAACATTAAAATTATGCCCCTACAACAAAGTTCTCCTCTGGTCCCAGCATAATTCTTAGGATCACTTTCATCCTTTCTTCTTGTGTCCCACAGTCTTCTCCAAATGACCTCCACTGATACTCCCTGCCTTCAGAAGCTTCAGACATCTGTGTCACTTATTTATCAAACAACAGAGATGCTGAATTTATTTCAAAAGGTAATTCAAGATGTCTCTAGTGACTTTGTATGGCTTTCAAAGCACTAAACATATTAGCTTCATCTAATGTAAGACACCAGACCTACAGCTTCCCTCTGATTCAGACATACTTTGCATCTTTGAAGCCTTAAAGTAATCTAATCATGTATGGATGCATGATGTGTGCAAGTCTACAAGAGCCAAAACAATCTTTAACTTTGTTCTTGATTCTTCATAGAGAATCAGTCTGTGAGCCTGTCCATTTCTTTACTTTTACAGTAACTTTTTTTTGGATATGAGCCAGTAATGTGCACTTGCAGTCGAGAAAGACAACTATGTCCCAGGCTGCATCTAAAGCAGTGTGGCCAGCAGATAGAGGGAGGTGATTGTGCTCCTCTACTCTGCACTGGTGAGATCCACCTGCAGTGCTGTGTTCAGTTCGGGTTTCACAGCACAGGAAAGACATGGATCCTGGAGCAGATCCAGAGGAGGGTCACAAAGATGACCAGAGGGATGGAGCACCTCTCCTCTGAGGAAAAGCTGAGAAACATGGGATTTTTAAGTCTGGCGGAGAGAAAGCTGCAGGGAGATGTTGTTGTGGCCTTTAAATATTTAAAGGGATCATATAAGAAAGATAGGGATAGACTTTTTATTAGGGTTTGCTGAGATAGAAGATGTCCTTGCTCCTTGTGGGGGATGCTGGACTAGATGACCTTTAAAGGTCCCTTTCAACACAAACTATTCTATGATTCAGTAAATATCAAAAGGGATAAAAATGTCATAAATCTGTATATAGTTCAAGCTGATATTCTATATCTACTGGCAATGTTATAGTATTTTTGCATTAATGATGTCTTGAGATACTTGAAATGATGATTACTCATTCATATGCTAACTTCTTTAACTGTGTTTCACAACATTAAGCATACATCTATTTTTATACAGTTTATGATCTCACAGTCCATTTTATCCTTATTTTTAGAACCAGGAGTTTTAACAAACCAAACATTAAAAAAAGCTGCAAGAGCTGCTTGACTGTCAGTATTAATTGTAGGAACATTGAATTCATCAACTTATGTGTGATGAATGTGATATCAACTGTCCTTGGAATATTCTTCTCTTTTGCCTTGAATCAGGTTGGTGTGTCTCCAGTTTTGAGTTCCCTACTGTGCTGGAATTTTATTTCAGAATTAATTTCAATCCTGCTTTGAGTTCTGAGACACTTTCTTTTCTTGTTAAAATTAAGCTATAGTATACTACCTCCCATACTCCACCCACTGCAGTTTTTGTATGTGTATGTACATGAACAGCTTATCAGTGGCCAGACTTCATTCCAACATTTATAAATGTAGTACCAAGTCTGAATATTTTGCCAGTTTATGGGATAAGAAGGTGTACATTACACAGAAAAGTTTGGAGGACGCAAAGGGCAGCCCACAGCATTTCCATCACCCTGCAAACACCCCTGTAATGTTATTTACTTTCTGTGAGGGTGATTAACTCTCAAACACACTGCTTGCTGTGGGATCACCTGCCTGCAGGATGACAGACCAGGTCTCCTTGTCCCCTGCCAAAGGTGCCATGGCTGTTCTGCCTTGCCCCTTGTCTCAGGCACCCTGACAGCATCCACCACTCCAGCTGCAGCAAAAGGTTTTACAAAGCAAAGCTAGAGGACTTTATAAGAATTTTATATTAAACACTAGATGTCACTGGCATACTCTTAACACAGTTTGTTGGAACTGACTGCACAGTACTTGCTCAGCCCCTCACCCAAATGCAGAGGCTTTTTCGGTGCCTGCACCTCACTGGCAGGGACCCCACAAATCCTCCTCAGGTCAGCTACGGATGTGTTTTCAATGTCCTCACTGCCCAAACTATGTGTTTGCTTGGGAAGCAGCAAGTACAAGTGTTTTCAGAATGGTGTGTTTTTCTGCATTTGTGTATTCTCATTGGTCTCAGACAAATATGTATGTACAGAAAAAAGGTACAAGTTACCCAGAATAAAAAGAATTAATTGCCCAGTTATCCTACCATTAAGGAAAAAAAACCTAATCCACAGGGTTCTGTCCCTTCTCTGAAGGAGAATGGTTGTCCAGCACAGCAATCAGGTCACACCTCTTTACTCATGCTGTGAATAGCAAAAAAGCAGATTTTCTTTGGAAGAGCCATAAACAAGAATAGCACTTTAGTTCCAGTGTAATCAAATTCAAATATTGCCAGAGGTTTTGTTTTAAAAAATTACCTTGATCATGGAATAAGATCTGAATAAATCATCTTGGTTATTTTTCTATCCTTTGGGCACATTTTAATAACTTCTTTGTAACAAGGCTTATGCAACACACTCCTGAGTCATGATGCAAGTTCAAATTCTGTGCAGGCTTTTTCTCTCTCTCCAGCAAGTCTGTGACTAGTAACAGCAGCCTGGAACCCTGGCACAGCCAAGGCAAACAAAAGCAATGCCCAGTGGCAAGCTAGAAGGTACCTTTCAGCATGTGTGATAGCCTTTGGAAAGAGCTGAGACATCCTCTTCTCAGGACCTACTGCCAGACACTGGAAAATGTGCAGAATGCAGTGCAGGCTGGCAACAGGCAGGACTGCAGCTGTCCCTTGGTGCAAAAGTCAAGGAGAGCTCAAAGTGGTCTGGCATGTATCAGTGTATCTAAGAACTGGCAGAAGACTTTCCCTACCTATTTTGTTTGGGTTTTTTTTTTTTTGTTTTTTTTTTTGTGGGTTTGTTTTTCCTTTATTTTCCCTTTTTCTTTTGTGACCAGATAGGTGGGGAATTGTCCCCAGTTTTTCAAAGTATAAAAATGGGTATAGAAATATCTGAGCTCAGGCATCTGACCAGCTGTGAGCTAGGTATGTGTTAAGAATGAAATTGTGCTAAGAATGAAATTGTTTAATGACCTCAGAAAGTCTGAAAACAATTATAAGTTATAGAGTTAGCACTGAGGTGCCCTTTGTGCCTATACAGAGCTGATCACAGCTGGCTTTATTCAGGAGACATCCTGTTTCCATCTCTGAAAGTTACATTTACCCAGAAAGGAGGCTCTGAAACTTCTCTCCATTCTTACACAAGTCAGTCATTGGGGTGGTCCTCATCATTCAGGATAACTTTGGGGCATCT